GTGGTATGATGTAAATATAGCGAGATTATGCTCATGGTTTTATGCAGAGACCCATATATTCATTTAGATAAGTTCTCTCATTATCAATGATTCCGTAAGTTATTTATGGCAGCATTATTACCATGACTATTGAGTCATATGTGAAAGTCCTGGATGGACTCGAGTACCCAGATGAAAGATAATTAAATAATAAATAGCTTATTTATTTGAAGTTGTTGGTAAGATGTGGTACAACCAACTAAATTCTTCCAGAAGAAGTAAAGTAAGAAAAATTCAAGGTAGAACCTTGTGTATAATGATAATATACAAAATGATCATCTCGGTCAAATAGACTATGTGGTGAACACTATGTAAAAGATTAAATAAGTTAGCTCATGCTTATAGACGGAGTAAGAATGGAACTTTTGGTTAAATACCAAAGAGTATTATCTCGACTTGTAGATCGAGCATCTCCTAGAAGGAATATTTTTGACCCAACCAATCTACTTGAATCTCTTTTAGAGATGTAAAATTATAACACCAATGAGTGTCAAATATTTGGAATTTGACAAAGATCCAAAGAAACAAATGAGGATATTATAGGACCTGGAGTTCCAAATGGACTTGAAGTCCACAAACGACATGAAGTTTATTTATTAAGCGCAATTGTGCTAAACTTTTATCTCGCAAACTGCATCAGGCCTAATACTGAATTTGTGATGAATTTGCTGGCAAGATTTACTGAATCTCTCCTTAGAGAGATATCGTGACAAATATTGAGAATATCCCATTATTCTTTATGTATGTTGAGTTATCTTTAGACTTGATATATGATATTGGTGGATAAGGACATCAATTGTATAATTGATCCCCGGAATATGGGTCCTCAATTGGTTATATACTTCTCAAATGGTATTAATACTTTACCATTGGTTATTGAAATTTCCCCATATTTATCCTGAAGATAACTTAGTTCGTGTTACACAAATAAATTATAAAAGTACATTTGATGATATTTTTTAATCTATATTAACTCCAGAAGGCAACAAATGGCGATTTTATGTTAGAAACTCTTACCTTGAGGGGGAGCAACATACAATTATGAATGTAACTAGAAAGACTTTCCCTTCAGGGGGAGCGATAAATAAATCTCGAAGATCGAGCTCAGAAGGCTAATTATAATCCTGAAAATTATGCTCTATTGGCCGACGCTGTACTCTTTTTCCATTTACTAAGTTTTTTTTCCTATTGAGTTTTACTTAGTAAGGTTTTTAACGAGACAGCAAGTGTAACACATAAATTTGCATATGTCATGTACTCTTTTCCTCGACTATTTTTTTCCCACTGGGTTTTGTAGTGAGGTTTTTAACGAGGCAGACATGATGCGGTAATGTCCAAGGGGGAGTGTTGTAAATATTAATTTTTGGACATTACCTAGATGTAGTCTTTGTATGTATGGGCCAGGAGCCCATTAGGTCTTTAGTCATGTACATTGTATTCTCTTATAAATAGGGCTCAAGTGAATGAATAAGATGATGGCTTTACGGCGTATCTCTTCTCTCTTAATCTTCTACTACTTTCTCTCTCTTTGTCTATCTATCTTACACAACGATCTTGTATATTGACAATCTGTATTTATTTGCATTTAGGTAACAAGTATAACATGTATGAAAGCACTCAACAATTATAAAGATCATCCAATATAATCTAGGAAGAGTAATAATGCAATACAATTTTGAAGTACTAAGTATTAAATTTATTGTCCACCAAGACGTATCAGTTAAAATTAAGGCTGAGCATGGGACTTGGAGAATTCCGAACCATTCAGAAAATCGAACAAAAATCATTCCGAATCGAAAAATAACCGTTGACCATTTGGCTTTCTCCTAACCGAACCGAACCGAAATAATAATTGATACGGTTCTGGAGATTTCACAAATATCAGAACCGAGAACCGAATCGAACCGTCTCATACTGTACCAAACCGAAGAACTGAAATTAAGAACTGAATTATAACATTAGATGTGTTATTAATATATTTTATGTCAACTTTGATCCTATATAATATAGTAATACTTAGTAATACTTGATCTACAATTGAATTTTTTCTATTATAAAATAATTATTTAAAAAAATATGAAAGGTTAAATATTTTTTTTATGAAAAAAATATTATATTTTGTTTGTATTTTAAATTTTCAATATTAGTTGCACAAATTTAGTCTTAATTAAAATTTAGAGTTACTTGTTAAATTGATTTCCAAATAAAAATCTTTAATATGATGAAGTATTGATGAATGTTGGTTTTATTAATGCAATAAAAATTAAATAACCAAAATTTAGAGTTACTTCTAAAATTGATTTCAAAATAAAATCTCCAATATGATGAATTAATTAATGATGTTTTTCAAAGTATATAAAAAATAAAATATAACTAGATAGTCATTCAAAAAAAAAATTAAAAAATAAGAAATCTCCGAAGATCCGAACCAAACAATAACGAACCGAACCGTCTCAATGGTCCTGAATACCGAACCGAACCGAACCTAACCGAAAATAAAAATTTCTTAATCAAACCGAACCGACTTTTTGGTACGGTTTCTGAGATTGAATTTTGGTATGGTTCGGAGATTGATAAATCCCCAAACTGTACCGACTCATGCTCACGCCTAGTTAAAATGAAGAGGTCTAAAAAAGGCATATATAAGTAGAAAGCAACACCTGTATTGTGGAGTCCCGTAGAAGTAACCACGTACTCACACATGACGCGCACGCCCATGTCTCATCACTTCATATCTCGTATATCCCTCACCCCGTGCGATATATATATATATATATAAAAAAAAATAAAGGAGGAGTAAATAATGGCGCATGGAAGGGGTGGAAGAAGGCTAATGGGACCATTGCTGGCTGTGAACTTAGTTGTGTACCTAATACTCGTCAGCCTCGCTGCTTGGTCCCTCGACAAATACATCGACGGCCACCAAAATCATCCCCGTACTCTCTATCTCTCGGTTTTTTACTTGTTCTTTTTTTGCCTTTTATGTTTCTTTTAAGTTGATGGGGGCCACAGCTGTAAACGAGCCGAGCTGAGCTCGAGATTAAGCGCTCGAGCTCGAGTTTTTAACGAGCCGAGCTGAGCTCAGCTTGTTAAATAAACGAGCCAAAATTCGAGCTCCAAGCTTAAGATGTTCGGCTCGTTAAATAAACATGTCAAAATTCAAGCTCGAGCTCGTTAAGGCTCGAACTCGAGCCTTAGCGAGCCGATCTCGAGCTTTAAAAATTATATAAAAATTCCATTTTCGAGCTTTATCGAATCGAGCCGAGCTCGTTAATCAATCGAGTTTTAAATGAGCTCGAGTTCGGCTCGTTAAAGCCTCGAACTTGAGCTGAGCTCGAGCCAGACTGGTTTAATTTAACCGTACTAGCACTAGATGGCGGTTAGTTTGGTGTACTCACCTTCATAATTTCTATTTCTTCATTTTATTTTCACATACACACACGTGAGTATAATTTAGATATAGGCACAATTTCAGTTTGGATAACATAGTTAAGCTCACGTATTTCTTGCTCGATTATAAGACTCGAGAAACGAACAACTTCAACAGTAGTTTGTTTCTCTCTCTAGATCTTGGCGGGAATCCTTCGACAATTTTCCTGATCATGTATGCATTGGTTGCGGGAGCAATAGGCTTGTGCTCGGTGTTACTAGGGTTTGCTCATCTTCGCGCATGGAGTAATGTGAGCCTTGCCAATGCTACCACATCAACATTTATGTCGTGGGCCCTAACCGTGCTTGCTTTCGGGTAATAGCCATAACCATCACAATTTTTTGTTGTTCATTTTTCTTGTTCTTATGGTTGTAAAAATTACTTCTCATTGTCATTTTTCAGTAAAAGGTTGGAAAAACTACCTGTGAGGTGTTGCCTAATTGCAACGGCGTGTCTTTAGTAATTGATCGGCAGAAATGCCTGATATAAATATTGGAAAATTTAGAAAGAAAAGGTGAATAAAATTCCTTTCGAAAACTTTAGCGCACACCTTTACGAAAGTAGACTAGAAGCTAAGAAAGCTTGTTCGTTGCCATTAAGTTCCTCCTCCATTCGGACTGCTACTCAATGACCAAAATACTTTCAACACTAATGGAAATGTTCTCCGCTGATACAGGTTTGTCTGCAAGCAGATAATAATGGGAGGGCATAGGGGTAAACGCTTGGTAAGGGGTCACACTATATCATATTTGCAGCTCTATTTTGTATTGCCAATAACCGCAGGTTGAAGTTGTAACAAATATTTAAATTACAGCAAACACTAGAAGCATTTATCGCGATATCAGTAGTGAGCCAGTTTCTCTACCTACTGCTTCTACATGCCGGAATATTTAGCAGCAGATATGGTCCGTCTCTTAACAGTTAATCGTGTCTACTAACGAATGGCATCAACATCAAGTAAGGAATGGCATCAACATCAAGTGCTATACGCAACCACAAGATTGGGTAAAGTATAGTTAGGTTATTGTCGAGCCCTTTTGTTTTATGGTTTATACACTGCACTGATTAAAAAGTCGAGGAATATGGTTTGCTTTAGGGCTTCAAAACACCATGGCTAGAGACTAATGAGAATACTATGATTTCTTGAATTGTACATTTCAACGTGATAGATCATAGAAGATAGAAGAGATCGTAATATATTCAACAAATGATACCTAAATGGGAAGACATAGATACAAATGATATCTAAGTGGAAAGATGCAAGAACATGCATACTCTCACACATCATCCGAGTACCTAATAAGATCCGAGCCGAATAATAGCTGCAATGATATCTTTAACACCCAGTCCATAAATAATATTCACTTGCAAGAAAAACGTATCAGAAGGTAGCTTGCCCCAAATACTCAGACACATGGCTCTTTTTTAGGGTACAAAGATTTCTTACCTCCATTGATCTTCTCAACTTTATCCAACTATGATACAAGATGAAGTGTCCACTAGGATTAACATCACAGCATCAGAGCATCTGTTAGAATTCATGATCACGCCATTCGACAACTGCTAGCGTGTGGCGGCCCCCACAGGCAACGAGCGTAGCACACCAACGACCCTCAGCATCAGCCCCATCAAGAGCCTTAGGAGGTGGGAGGATGTTTATAGGAACCTCAGCAGGATGCCCTGTTGTTACCTTCCTCCCGTACCCCAAGCGCCCATGGTCCCCTCTCCCAAACTGCCATTTTCGACACCAAGTAAAATTCCAAGTTCAGAATTAAATCAAAGATAAGTTGGCCCCAAAAAAGAAAAAAAGAAGATTGCCAGGAATCTCCCCAATCCTACTTAGCTTGACTTCTACAATCCCCTCAATACCATATAAGGATAACAAGGCATTTCTTTGTTGGTATAGCTAAACAAGATGGACGAAAAAAAGGAAACTCCGTAAAAGAAAATGTAAAATAATATCTAATTAATTATGCCTCAATGGTTTTTGTGTTTAAGAAACTCAGTAGTTTTGTTCACTACTATAAAGTGGCAGTGACCATTTGTTCTCATGAAAAATGTTGAAGCGCTCACAGAGTACATGCGACCATCGCGTGTTAATGCTACGGAGTGGGTGCCTCCACATGAAACCTGCATGAGAATAATAAGAACTAGCAGATGGCACATATGAGCATTAATAAAAGTACCGTAAACATTCCTGGGGAAACCCCAAATTGATGGTGATAAAAGCAAAAGGAGAAAACAAGACAAAAGAAAGGAAATGGCCAAATCAGATGGACCACAATAAATGATAACGAGATTTAATCATCTTACAAGTTTCATAACTAAAACGGCAAACGAGATTTAATCATCTTACAAATTTCATAACTAAAACAGCAAACCTTGCATACTACAATGATTGGCAACTAAGAATGTATCAACAAATTCGAACTGTGATGTTTTATTAGCATTTTCCACACTTGTCAGTAAAAGCAACATCACCTATGAAGGTGGTGAAGGATATTGATATATGTGTGAATTAGTCTTTCATCATATTTGAAAACCCCATCTTAGACTTGACAAAATGTAATACGAAGTTCTTTAAACAACTATTTAGAATTTTGTACACAATGAAAAACAGTAATACCTGCACAATCTCCTCGCCTACCAGAAGTTGAACCTTTTGAGGAACCATTTTGCTGCTCTTGTCATCCCCGAACCCAAGCCTCCCATGTTCCCCTCTTCCCCAACCGTAAACCTACAAGGAAGACAAGAAATCAATGGACAGTCGCATTTTACACCAACGAACCGAAGGCCAAAATAAGGGGTTCAAGAATATCCACTAAATATGAAGTATAGATTGTACGCACATATATAAAAGAAAATGAAAAGACAAGGATTAAGAATAAGAAAACAGGAAACACAAACTCATGCACCTAAACTGAAATTTAAGGTGCCATGACCCAGTTCTGACACAGCTTACTGAGTCTAGCAGTCAATCCAGGCCAATAAAAGATAACATCAATCAAATTTCTCCACAGACTTTAACAATCGTATAAAATTTGTGGATGAAGTTTTCTACGGACTATGAGTAGTTTAACAAAATAGCTTTAACATTCATTTTCTTGAGTCTGTACAATGTAAAAATTCAACCACTGGCAGCAAGATATCATGGTGTATCCTATATATGATTTTATGATGTTCACACAACTAAATTTCCTTAACCATCAAAAAACAATAATATTAAACTGACAGGTTAGTCCAGAGAAATTGTTCCGAGGGAAGCAAAGGGGTGATGAGCATGTGGCGAGGAAGTTGTTCTCATAAACATGTAAAGTACAAATGCAGAAAATGATTTTAGGAGTTCCACAGAACTGATTATTTTCCTTAATCCGAAACATTCTAGTGTATCTCTGAATAAGGCGTCTTGGGATAATGCAGAGAGCGATTTTAGTTCGAAATCTGATGTACTATGAAAAAAATGTTTAATGTTTTGAGACAATGAACAAAAATGGAACTACTCTAGATAATCACCAATAAAAACAAATCACAAAGCACAAAACTGATAAACAAAAAAGTTCACAAATATCTTCGGGCTGAAACTCAAAGTCCTTATCGTAATACTTTGGACATTTGATAAAAAGATAGTGATGAAATAATGAAGAAAAGTTGATTTAAAATCTTAAAAAAAAAAACTCAGATTCATAACATGACAAATAAGGATACATGGGGAATATGAACTCACACTGGACATGGTAACTACTTTTCTCTTCTTCTTTTTTCCCCTTTTTTGGGAAAATAAAAGAACGAGGTTCATGCAGAAATAAGTAAACACTGAGTCGAGGAATAATAGACACTTTCTTATGTACCTCTCCATCATCAGTCATTGCAGTAGAATGCCATCCCCCTGCAGCAATATCAACCTGCAAATCGATTGAAAGACTTACATTTCAAAATTGAATAAAATCATATTCATACAAATGGAGTACGCTTTAAATCATCTACAAATAGAAAATTTATCATTAATTTTATGCTTGGTTATACAATACAGAGCAGATAAAGGCCACTAATCTTAAATTGGAAAATGTTTGTAATAGCTTTTATCTGTAAGGTTCATCAACTGGTTCAACCTTTGTCATACTGGGAAGTGTATAACTAAATGTAATTAAATAGAGACTGTCAACAGATTTTATTTCCAAGATGCAATATTAATGTATTTATCCTTCCCTGGTATCACATCCCAACTAATTTTAGGTGCTTTTTAGGTTTAGGTCAATTTTTCTTATGACAAAATTATTATCGTCATCTTTTCTTGGTCACTTCAAGTGTCGTAATTACTGAAAAGAGATACATTATATAGATCAGTATGAAGTCAGTATTTTGACAGCAGAACTTAATGCTCACAAGATAGAGGCCATAATGTAAGAAAATAACAGTTCCAGATGGAACATGAAAATGGAAATAAAGCATGACTGACCATTTTCAGATCTGAGAGACCCTGGACTGCAATAGGCTGCGATCTAGGCTGGGTATCACCAGTACCAAGTTGACCGTACTCATTATTCCCCCATGCCATTACAGTTCCGTCATCAAGCAGAGCCAAGTTATGAAAAGCTCCAACTGCAATCACTTTCACGTTATCAAGGCCTTGGACTCTAACCGGAGTGGAAATTTGTTTTCTGGAAAAGAATAAAGCAAAAATGGTTTAAATCTGAGTCAGCCACTAATGCAGATATCATGAAATCACTGATCACATAATGCTTTCATCAAAGGATGGCATAACTCACACAGTAAACACATTCCACAATAATTTTCCAGACTTACATATCTCCAGGGGGCCACGGCTGGCCCCATGTCCATACATGGCCTTCTCTTGTTAAAACAACTGAATGTGTGCCACCAGCAGCTACCTGTTGAGATGGTTAGGACCGTCAATCACGAATTCAGATATTGGCAACACGCCTACCCATACATTTCCACCCTGGATTAACAGTAAAAGGCAGGATGAAGAATGTTACTCGCTCTATTTTGATTTTTTTATTCAAGTGTCATTTTAAAGTTTCGGTTTAAAAGTAAAGAACATAAATACTTGACTATTGCACCTCTAAGTAATACAATATTCCTAGTTAACCTTTCTCCTCTCTCTCTCTCTCTCTCTCTCTCTCTCTCTCTCTCTCTCTTCAGTAGCATCTTATTATCATACGTTTTTTTTTTTTTTCATTCTTGAAATAAGGAGGGAATGAGTTGGAAACTAGAGGTAAAAGTTCTAAAACAATAATTAATTTTGTAAAAAAATTAAGCTTCTAGATTGACAAGTAATACAATAGGAATGGGGCACATGATTACAGAGGCTGATTAGCTTCCTTTCGGCCAATGCACACATACAATTATTAAAGATGCGAAACTAAAATCTGGTCACCACACATCCAATATTCTGCAGTAGACTTCAATAAAACTTAGTTAACAACCATTATGCATAGAGAATGAAGCCTTAATATGCACTAATCAAGACATGTTGAGTGACCTGACGAACTGAAAGTTTGGGTACACATCTCTGTGGAATGACAATATCCCTTCTAACTGGTCTGCCTGTATCATCCTTACGCTCAGGCTCTTCACCACACTGTCCATACTCATTACCACCTACATTATAGAAGACCCAAACCTTTATAAATATATAGGGTGGTCTAAATAACCATGCGGCACTTCAAATCATCAAGTCACACCTTCTACAGTACTAAAGAAACTCAAGTTTGAGTTTCCACTGATCGTCTACAACTCTACATTTTGTCGAGTACTTCAATAAATTAACTGTCCAGTTATTTGCATTATTCAAGTAGAGGAAAAGGAGTCAGTCAAGCAACACAGTATACATACCCCAAGCATAAGCTCGACCCTGATCATCAACAGCCAAGCAGTGCCAACCACCAATAGCAGCCTGCGATTAAAACTAAATCACTTATCTTGAAAACAGTATTGAAGTTTATTCTTCAACATCTTCTAGTCCAAAACTCAGATTAAAAGAACCAAAAACGCAAATACCTGAACGATTTTGACATTGGCAAGAGCCTTAACTTGACTAGGAACATTCTCGGTTTTCGTTTCTGGCGGATGCCCTAGCGTCCCCCTTTGGTTCCAGCCCCATGTGAACAGCTAAAGTTTAAAATTGTAACATCAGGAAAATAGAAAAAACAATACTAGGACATGAAGAAGAAGAACAAGAAAAGAAAGAAGCAAATAATTAGGAAAAGGCTGTAACAAACAGACCTTGCCATCTTCACAAATGGCAAGAGAGTTGCGGCTTCCGGCGACGACGGAGCAGACGTTTTGGGAGCGGAGGGAGGTGATGGTGCAAACCCATTCTCTCTCTTCATTGTTGCCTATTCCTAACTGGCCGTCTTCACCAGAACCCCTGAAAATCAAGTGAAGCACAAAGTAAGAACAGAACAAAAAGCAGATAAATAGCAGAGCGCACGGGCGTCGGAGCAAACCAAGCTATGACGGCGGCTTTGTTGGTGGCCATCCGTATCGGGTAGTGCTGTGCTGCCACTGTTGCTGCTTGCTATTTATTTAGGCTTATCAGTCTGAAAAAAAAAAAAAGTGGATATAATAAATTATTTTTTGCTGGTACAAGACCTCTATTAGAGAGCATCCCATTGTTTTAATTTTTTTTATTCATTCAATCAAAAATTACAATCTCTCTCCTCCACATATTTTTTCACTAATTCTCTCTTCATTTAAACACACACATCTCTGCACATTCATTTAAAACAAATATAGGACACATTATATCCGTTCACTCAATATAAATTTTAATATTCAATTCTCAATAAAAATAAAAATTTAATATTTTTAAATTATAATAATAAATTTTAAATGCATGAAAATAAATGAACACTACAAGACCAAAATAATTTAAATTAAGATTACACAAGAATAAATAGTACAATTACAAAAAATAATTTCTTTAGTGGCTAAAATGAGTTCAAATATGCTCAACTAAATCGGCACGAAGTTGATGATGCACTGTGTTATCTCGTATCTCTGAACTTCGACGGATATAATTTTAAAATTCTTGGTTTGAACCCTGGACAGGTTGTGCAGGCTCTTCATCCTCGTCATTGTGCCAATGTGTTACTACAACTCCTTCATTTTCAACAATCATACTGTGTAGAATAATGCATGTCAACATAACAAATGGTGGGGATAGAAAATGTAAATTATTGATACATTGAATTTATCTGTATTGGAAAGTGTGATATAGATAAAAAATAAATAAATAAAATATAAAAACAAAAGAAAAAGGAAAAGAGTTAAATATATAATTATTTTGAAACCAAAAATAAAATAAAAATAAAATAAGGTTTTTAAACCAAAAAAAAAAAAAGAAAAGAAAAGAAAATGAGCTGAACGCGTTCAAACAAGTTAACTAAGTGGTGGGCTCCTCTTTAAACGGATGAGCCGCATCCGTATTAACGCGAGGGGGGGAGGGGGGCATTTAAACATATGTAAAATGAAGGCGATGCGGATACCCTTATAACAGTGCTGATATAGGATATTATACCCACAAGGGTAAATCGGTCTGTCGTACTGGTCGATTGTACCGTGAGAAAGCCGAGCCAATCTAGTGGTAATCGAGCAAGATGACGATGGTCGAGCACCTTGAAGGTAAGATCTAGAAGACTAGAATCGACAGCATAACCCAAGTAGCGGAAAGATCGACCAGAGCAGTCGAGCAGTTAAGTCGACCTCAATAGATCGACCACTTTTTGGATTGGCAGTATTCTGATCGACCTAGTCACAGGCGCGTGCAAGAGCCTCAAACCGAATTTCAGGGGAATATTCGGAGGAATAATCATCTCATGTGCAGGGTACACGTGGCGAGAATGCATTGGTTAACAGCGATAACCACCTCTGACAACTCTCAGCGTCACCTCTGACATGCGCGCGGTGTGTCAGAGTATGGACGGGCAGTTGGGGCAGCCAGCTCACCATGCCCGGGCAGTCCTTAGGTCAGGTATCTCACCCCTATATAAAGAGATGTGAGCCTTTCTTCCTTAACACACAATTTCATTATTCAACTCATACACACTTATACTTACTTAAGCATCGGAGGCTCTTCACCGGAGAACCCCCCGGTGTGAGAGTTGTTTGCAAGTTTTTCGGCGTTCTACCGGCGAGGACAAGAGGCAATCTATTCCAAACCGGCCAGGACGCTCACACTTGCATTAAGTGCGAATCCGATTCGTCAGCACTTGCGAGTTACGACAACCAGTTAACCAAGCTTATATAGGTTTGGGCCCATAATTTATGACTTAACATTTGAAAAGCTATATTATGGCCAGTAATGTTCCCCTACCCACGGTGGACACATGTTAATATGCCCAATGTGTGCATGCCACATAAGTGGTGGGCATGTTAACATGTGCCCACCGTGGGTGTGAGCATTATCTATATTATGGCAATGTTTGGTAAAACTAGCTGATAAGCTAGCTGATAGCTGATTAGCTAACTTAAAGTTAATCAGGAGAAATTGTCATTGCTCTCTTCTTTTTCTTGTGAGTGCTTGCATAGATAAAAGAGCCCCATCAAGTTTTATTTTTATCATCATCCCAGTACTCGACTTGAATGCAGAAATCTAATTTGATGATTTGGAAAATAGGGGTAGGTATCTGGATTCCAAATGAGCAGTAATCCACCACTTGTTTCCACTGGGTCCACAACAGTCCAGTTGTTACCTATTTCCTAACTTTTTACAGACTGTATTAACATTTTTTTTTTGGTTTTGAAAAAAAAAAAAAAAA